CTGTTTCTATTCTAATTCCCCATTGTTTTAAGGGCTTGCTGGAGGAACCTGTTGATTTCTCTCTTGGCTATCACTTGGGCAGGGACTTTGGTTTTGTAGATAGCAGCTGAGTGATCTGTTAATTACATGAACAGCCTCTTTCATGCCTGCTTTAATCTCATCTATTGAACTCCTCATGTAACTGCTGAGATGGCTCCAAGAATTAGCTTGTCTTGTCTCACATGCACACACCCCTCCAGTCTCTGCAGGGTTGCTGCGCAGAGAAAATTGCAGCAGGTTCACATCTCACTCCCTCTTTTAATTTGTGAAGCAAATCACCTTGCTGCTTTTGCTTGCTCTCTTTTTCTGCTCTTGCTTCTGCTCTGCTTTCTGCCTCTGCTTATTAGCTAGTTCTAGCTAAACAGTCCACATTGCTTCCTGGACTGTTTCTCCTCTCCTGTTCCTGTGACCATCTCGAACCTGCTCCGGACTGGGACCCGGGAACACCTAAGGTTCGGCTGCAGCGGCTGCCCCAGCGCCGGAGGGACTGAGAACAGAGCAACTACCCCCCAAAAGAGACTTTCTGATTTTGTCATCTTTCTCAGAGTGGTGTCATCGGGTATTGTTCATTTTGTGTGCTGGGGGGTGCGGGGCCAGTCAAATAAACAGGTTCTTTCCACCTCTCTCCGAGGAATTTTTTTTCCCGAACCGGTTGGGGGGAGGGGCCGTGTGGGTTTCGCTTTCTGGAGGGGCCCTCCTTTGCAGATTCTTTAACAAATTTGCCCTAAACCAGGACAAATTTTTGGCAAATCCCCGCAGCAGGGAGGAAGGGAGGGAGGAAGGGAGGAAATGGTGTCCCGAGGGGGCCAGGGCCCTCGGCATGGAAATTATCCCATAAATGCTTTTGGACCTATCTACAGGAAACTCCTGGAGGTCACTGCCAGAGCCGGCTGCTGACAGCGTTCCTGAGAGCACAGACAAGCAGTCAGGGCAGGCAGAACCCAGGAAAATAAATCTTCAAGGTAAGGAATCCTGAAAACCAGACCCTTCTTTACCTGCTTTGCTCCCTGATCTTCTCATTCCATCATTCTTCAAACTGCAGATTACTGCACTTCGCAGCTGTGGTGCTCAGGAATTCATCTGCTCTGCGCTCTTTTGGCTTAAGTGGAGCATCCAAGCCTGCAAAAAGCTCCAGTCCTTTGAGAGGTGCTGGGGATGCTCTGGCACAGAAACTCATCCTCAGTGCCTTCCACTGGGGAGTATCTGGGTAAGGTAAGAAATCAGGCAGTTTGCAGAAAACAGCTCAGAGGAATGACATTAAAAATAAAAACCAAATAATGCTGATATATTAAATAAGGTTTGCCAGAAGGCATTACCTGTTCTTAAAGCACGGAAATAGTATTAGAAGTAACTTCTGTAGAAAAGGCTGTGTCAACCACAGATTTTTATCTACCATGACAGAAGTTCCTAATGGAGCACCAACAAGTGCAAGATAAATTTTATATATTTTCCTAAGTAAATATAAACGCAACTTGTTTTTTAGATTTGACACTACTTAGGATAAAACAAGAAGATTGGGCTGCTACGTAACTCCTGTACATCTACACAGACATTGATTTTCCACCAAAACCCTGAGTACTAAATATTTTAGGTTGTCATATTGTTTAACAAGGAAAGCATGTCAGCATAACAACAAATTGGTGGGGATTTAAAATTATTTTTCTTTAGCAAGAAAGTACTCCACACAACAGTTTGGTGCAGTTTTGTATGCCTTTTAAATATTACATACTATTCTGTACCAGTTTGTTTTCTAAGAGGAAAAAGCAGCGCATGAGTTTTCCAAATGGAAAAGCAATCACAGTTGCCCAACATCTGGAAATGGATATCAATTAAAATTTCTCAAAGCTTTTTTTTTTTTTTGGAGTATTTCTTTCATCTCTCTGGTAAGATCTCTCCTGGTGCTCCAAGACAGAACGGTCTTCTAGGATCTATTTCCCCAGTTCTGCTTGTTGAATAAAGATATTTTAGTGCCTGAAATGGTATCAGTACAAAACTCATCAGTGGTAACTAAACATCAAATGTAAAATAATGACTGTAAATAGCTGTACTATCCATTGGGGGAGAAAACAAAAACCCAAACACCATTAATCAGCAATAGAACAAATGAAAAATTCAGATTCAAAAACTAAAAAAGTGCAACTTCCACAGAAAAATGAGAATACCTATCAAAGGGATTAGGTCTTAAACAACAATGCTGATATACTGAGTCGCTAATAAGTTTTCAATTAATAAAGCTTTTATTAAATTTATTCAATTAATAAAGTTTTCAATTCTATTTGGGGAAAAGTTTTCAAGACAGTATTTTTTTCTGTATGTATTTAATGATACAAAATTATTATTTTGGTTTTTTTTGTTTCTTTAAATAACTAAATAAATCTTTCTGGTCAAGCAAAATAAGAAACAAGAAACCAAACAGCCTGAAAGGCATCTAAAATAGGTAAATTTTGTGTAGAGTCTCCCTTCAGATACACATTCCTCATTTTTGCCAGTATTTAGGTTCAGATGTTTCTGATTCTAGAAATGCATTTGGCTGGGCAATATTAAAGGTAATAATTAAAGCTGAGTGTTCCTCCCACAGCTCTGAAAAAGTGGCATCTATCCACATTGCAGATGGGGGGGACAAGAAACTTTCAAATATGTAATTTTTAAATAAAAAAAGAAATTCTGCAAGAAGTTCTTAGATCTGGCAGGTCACGAGTAAGGTGGGAAGGATGAGGTGCAGAATCACCAAGAGGTCACAGCCACATGTTTTCCAGCTGCCTGCTGAATCCAGGAGGTGGTGCCAGGAAATGGTCTCTGCCACATTCCTGGAATCCCTGTAAGAAATTGTGATGCCAAAGCTCCAAGACTGGATGCACATTCCCAGATCCACTGAAGCCCCAGAGTGGTTCAGAAAAAGGCTTGGATCTCTGAGGTGCTGCTGACCAGTAAGAGGAGCAGGAACAGGGCACCACGTAAGCCTCTATGCACTGGAGCCATGAATTCTCATCTATACATTGAAATATGTGTATTTTTTTAAAATATTGCCTTTGACAGACTTGCCTGAGTCATAGGATGGTCTGAGTTAAGGGGATAAATAATGAGCATTGTCATACTAAAGTTGTATGACTGATAAAATTCAGAATATTAAAAAAAAAACCTCAGGAATTGTCTTTATTACTCAGTCTATGCCTTCACCTTTACTCTGAAAAAAATACAAGGAATTCAAAATGTCATATTTAATACAATCATCTCCTTTTCCCATCACCTTTATACCTTGAACTGTGTCATTCCATGCTTGGTTGAGAATTTTGGTGAACAGCAGTTAATAAGCCCAGAGAGCATAAGAATACCTTAATGAGATCACCTACTTGGAAGGGCAAGGAGAATCTGTAAGACTGCAATTATACTTCAAATGATGCTTTCAAGACCCACAGTTAAACTGAATCATTAATAAACCATTTTTTCCAGTTGTACCAAAAATCACTGGAATTTTGGATTCAAGGTAGCAAAAGGTCTTTGGTTATAAACAAGCTTTGTGTTTCCAGACCAAAGTACATTTCCCTCATTTTTTCAGCATCTTTGGATATAACAGAGATGTCTCATTATGCTGGTATAGTTTATGGGATGGAGGCTGGTGTTTGTACCAGCAGTACAGAGTCTTTATTTCCAGAAAAAATAATGCCTCAACTGTGGAGAGCCTGGTTCAAGCATGGCTTACAGAAAGCGGCCATGAAGGTATTCAGCTAAGGGAAAAATAAAAGGCTGCTGTAAAGCAGCAGTTCCCAGGCTTGATTCTGTAAATAATTAGGTTCTCAGCCACCTTTTATATAAACAACAAGATTCTCAGACCGTTTTCTCAAAAAACAGGCAAATATTCTGTCCTTGGCTGCTCTGGGAACAGATGGATGTTCCTTTATATCTGGGAACAGATAAAAAGGTTTTGAGAACTTTTCTTATCATGGTAAGACTCAACCTCTGCTCATCAGAGAAACCTGAAGAGCTCAAACCCCAACCTGCATTGCTTGCATTTTTTGTCTGCAGAACATTAGCTACCAAAATCTACACAGATCTGCTCCCAGAAAAAAAAAAAAAAAAAAACAAGATCCCTGTGCAGGGATCAGCCCAGGAAGACTGAAGGTGATTAATTAGGAGCTGAGAAAGAAATTCTGTCACAACTGCAGCACCACATAGAAACTGGTGCTGCTTAATGCAACCTGTTTGATACCGAACACAAGATTGCTGGTACACCAAGCCTGAAGACTTGGCTGCTCATCATCTTGAACTGGCTTGGCTTTTGGAAGGCTTCCACTGAAAGACAGGGAAAACAGAGAACAACCATGAGGTAAGAAAAGGTCTCTTGGACACTGTGAGGAAACTGAACTGTGGAATGATTCTAACAGTCTAAAAAAGTATATGTTTTTTTCTTTGGAGGCACATGGAAAACACCTCCTGCTCTCTTATTTGTCCTGCAGCCTGATATTTTTGCGAAGTAGCTCTTATTGACAAAAATATAGCATTCTCATGAAAATAAACTGCAGATGTAGCAGTGGTAACAGGAACTGAACCATGGAATCTGCTGAGTTGGAAGGGATCACCCAATCCAGCTCCCTGCCCCACCAATCCCACCCTGTCCAAACACTCCCTGAACTCTGTCAGGTTTGGTGCTCTCACCACTGCCCTGGGAAACCTGTTCCAGTGCCCAACCTCCCTCTGGGGGAGGAACCTTTTCCTGATACCCAACCTAAACCTGAAAACCCTGACCCAGCTTCAGGTTTCAGGTCCTGTCAGCAGAGTGAAAAGATCCGTGCCTGCCCCTCATCTTCCCCTCCTGAGGATTTAGAAGACCCCAAGGAGCTTCCCCTCAGTCTCCTGCAGCTCCAAGTGCCCTCAGACCCTAGGCCCCCTCCCCACCCTCACTGCCCTCTCAATTGCTTAATGCCCGTATCACCCTTTTGTTAAAGACAAGAATTTACACACCGTTTCAGTACCCCTTTCCTGGGAAATCAGTGTTAGAAATATTAACACTAAAAAAATACACAGTGCAAATTACATAACGAAAAAAAAGTTGCTGAAACCAACGTTACAATTTGCTGATTCTATCCAGAAAAGAGATAAGACATATCCCCAAGCAGTTCCCAAAACCAGGATGAAATGGTACAGTCTCAAAGCAATTAAACAGCACAAAATTCTGTTTCCCACACAGGAGTTACCAGTTTACTCTGACCATCACTGGTTAGGAAAATTAATGAAAAAATAAGAATTTTTGTTATTTCAGCACGAGCAACTACTACCAGCAAAGGCATGCTGCACATCTGATTAACTTTTTAACGATTAGGAGCTCTGACATGTGAACAGATAAAAAGCAGAAAAATCAAAACCCAGGTTTACTAAGGCAGGTAATGGAATGTGCTGTTATGTGTAAGAAATGTTCCTTCAAATGCTGCAATTCTTTAAATGCCAGATCTTGGCAGTACTGAATTGTTCAGTCTTATAAACAGATGATGTGTTTTAGTGACACACTTTCCTTCTGAAACTCAAGGACTCAAAGGTGAACAAAATTTATGGGCAAAAATTGGGCTGAATAGTGTCTACTCACAAAAAAAGCCACAACTTATTAGTGACACAATACTTTAAACATAGGTATCAGTGTTGCACATGTTCTTCAGCTATATTCAAAACAATACTCAACATAAAAATTGTTTTCAGCCAAAATAACAAACTACACAACAGTTTCCTGCATCAAGTAAATAATAAAAAAAAAAATATCCCCTGCAAGAGTCAGCACAGAAAAACTCCAGATCTTCTGAAAGCTGAACATCATCTCACTGCGCACAGGAGGAGGACAGAAACAAGAACTGCAAAGTAAAGGGTTTATATCTCCATGTACAGTCTACAGACCTTTGAAGGGAACACAGCTCAGCAAAATCTCACTACTCTGAAGGCTTTCAATTGTTTTTGTCTGCAAACAAAAAGATCCATGGAACTTAGGTGTGTGTCTAATCATGGAAAATGTTTAGACAGAACAGATTGGAAGCTCAAGTCACCACTGAAATACAAAGATTAAAAATACTGCAGAAATCTGAAGCATACATTACTCAATACTGCTTATTTACGAAGTTGTTATTCAAAGGTCACTGACCACTAAAATTATTTCACAAACCAATCTGTTTTTACAGGTCTTAAACCTATAAATACTGTTTTTGTCAATACACTGCCACATGAAGAATATACGATCATTTATATCAAGACTAAAATTATTCTGTTTTTTCTGTTCATCTGTAGTAAAGAGCATTGTTCACCTGATGACTTTGTGTACTCCAGCAAATTAAATGAGAAGTATTTGGTTAAGACACACAGCCTTAATTCCTAAACCTAACATGTGACTAGAAACACTTCCTAAGGTGACGCAGGGCTCTTATCTAGAAAAATCTTAACAGTTTCTGAGGACTCAGCAAACAAGTAACAGGACAATTAAAAGTCTTTCATGCTGTTAAATTTAGCTAAGAATTACCTCCTGTTCTTCAGCATCAAGTATTCCCCATGCTCTGAAAACAAGAAGCCATGGGATTACAAGAAAGCCTCATTTAACATGTTTTTATAGAGACTCTGCTATCAAGAATGTCACTAGTAACTAAAAGATCTCCAAATCGTGGGCATTATCAATTTCAATAGTATCCTCAGGTTCCATCTTTGCCTCGTGGTGCCCTTCCTGCAGGTCGTCCAGGGAAGCCAGAGCCTCGTTTGTGTCACTGGCAAAAGTCTCACGAGATGCATCATCATATTCCTGCAGGTTAAGCCCCTTGATGGCCTTCTTCATCTTCTTCCCCAGAACTTGTATCCTCCTCTTCTTGGCAGCTTTCTTGTTTTCATACTCCTTCTGGTTTTCCAGATAGAATATTTCCTTGAAAGAAAAGAAGTAAACAGCAAAATATATTTGCATATTCGTTTTAGTGGTATTTACTAAAAAAAAAAGGTGAAGTAATAAAAAAAAAATACTTAAGATACTGGTTGATATTTAACTAAGCCACTTGTTATTGAGAGCAGAAGTGTGAGAAAAGGCTGCATTTAAGGAAAAGGGGTAGAACAGAGTATTTACTTTCTAATAGTGTAAAGTGATCAGGCTTGCAACTTTTAAAATTTTTTTCTGACCACTGCAAGCTATGGAAGGATGTTGGAGTTTTATTTCCCTTTCTCTTTTTCTTTTCTTCAAACAATTTCAATGTTGACACAAAGTAGACTTTTTTCTCAAATCCCAGTACCAGACTCTGGAAAGGTTTACAGAATTACCTGTACCCACCTATAAGCAAAATAAAAACTCTAATAAAAACTCTTTTAATAAAGTAGCATATGCCACAAAAAAAAAAAAAGTTGGTATTTTCTACGCTAAGTTAAAAGATCTCAGAGAAATAGTATTTACAAGCTTACAAAACTGATTTAAAGAGCACCACAGATGAGCCCAGTGAGCAATTCAGATTAGGTTCAGACCATCAACTGGTTTAATGAGAAATTCTGCCTGGTGCCACAGTTGGGAGTAGACAGGACAAAAATATTCTGCTGGGAGACCTGCACTCAATCCATGCACAATGACACAAAGCTCCAAGGGGAGAAACACAATGTGGACAGCTTTGCTGTAAAGAACACAAATCTACAAACCAGGAAAATCTGACATTTACCTCTGCCAGACTCCACAACCTCATCTTCCTCAACAGGTTTTTGAGACTGGCAACACGCAAAAATGAGTTCTCTCTGCTTATTTAATGGCAATTTAATAATTTTTGAGTAGATTTTTTATCTTTTGCTGTCTTTTGAATGTGAAAGCCTGGTTTCAATGGAATACACAGTTACATTTGTTAGAAGTTAGAGAGCTTCAGTCATGATATTTCTAGTAGGAAGAAAAAACCCAAATGAGAATGTACATTTGAACTCACTGACATTTTTACCTTGATTTTTTCTTCTTTGATGCTCGGTGTGTTCTTCAGCAGGTTTAAATAAACACCCCCAGGTGTTCTTCTCCGGGTGCCATTCTTAATAGGGAGAGAGGAAATTAGGAATAGCAAGCTTAATGCTAAGTTTTGACAAAAAAAGTAGCTCTAAAGCAACACTCAGTGTTGAGGCAGAATAAAGCCAATTTAAGTTCTGATGTGTCAAATACCAGATGAAAATAACCTTGGCTGTGTCTCATTTTTGACTGAATTAGTCATATGAACGTCAACAATCAGCCTGCTAAATCTGGACAGTAAAATAATGAAGTTACAAAAAAATTCCCTTAGAATATAATGTAAAATTATTAAACCTACACACTAAACCTGATTTTGGTAGTGAAGAAACAAAATACAAACAATGTTCTAACTACTCTCACAGCTATCTGCAACAAGTTATGCAGTAGGTTAAAAACTCAGAGCATTCCTAACACATAGGCCCAGTAAAATGTCTGAAACAAATATAACAAAATTATGTTGATCCCAGACTTTTTTAATAATTTCCTGTGCTCAGAAATGCTACAACTTGAAAAATACCGAAGGATTTTGCATTTCTGTTGAAAACACAGGAAACACAACCTGTACTTTAAAATTCCTCCCCACCACATGTTCGACCCACAAGTTTTCAGTGCAGCAACAGCACCGCATGGAAAGGGCTCAGCTTTGAAACCTCTGTAAATTACAAGTGCTAATTATTATTATTCAATTAAAATTTGCAGTATAAAACACTGCTTTTACTCCAGTAAAAAAGTGGATGACACCAGTGCAAAGTGTGATACTTTCCTGATAAATAATGTACTATATAATCTAAAAATTCCAAGAGGGATGGTCAGGTTTTAAGTAGGCTCTTGAAACAGCACATGTGAACATCTTTTTATCACCTGCATTTCATGGTGCATTGTGATCTGCCTTCTTTCAAAGAGTATACTCTGATCTGCTCCCAAAGCAACCTGTGCCACCAGGAGTTGTGTCCCTTCATCTCCTCTGTTGAACACTTTTTAATTTCACTTTCAAGACAATGGAATGCTTCTAACACAACTAAGACAGCTGGAATTTGTTGCCTTTTGTTTTATGAAAGAGGAAGGTGGGTTTTTTTGTTTTGTTTTTTATTTAGTTTATTTACAGTTTTTTTTGATTGTGCTCTCCTACTTGTTTTTTGCCTCCTCTCTACTTCCAAGGGATGTAACTTAAAACTTGTAATCAAGTGAAAGCAATTCCTCATTCTTGCCCACTTTTTCCTCACCCACAGCTTTACTTACCCACTGTGTTTTTTGCACTGAGGCTCATTATTTAACAAGAACAATAACAGACAACCTAACCAAGGAGTATACCAAGGGGTTTTTAACACTATTTTTAACAGATATCAGAGCTCAGCTTTTCTCTCCTAATACACAATCCAGTGGTTCCCTAACACAGCTAACAGTTTTCCTTTTGGGAGGTATTCTGAAACTGGGATGTTGAAAATGCTGGGTTTTATTCAAACCTGAGAATCCTTCATCCTCAAGGATGAGGGAAGGATTCCAAGGAGAGGCACAGTAACAGACACAACATTATCCCTGCAAGTCAGACACCAGACTCAGCACAAGAACCTGGGTAATTTCCACGTTCATTCATCCTATTGTTTGCTCAAATCCTGTTGGGAGGTTACATAGATCATTTTTTTAGGGGTTACACAGATTACTTTTTTATGTTGGCAAGGGAAGGCCATAAAACTCCAGGAGAACATGTCCAGCACAAGAAACTTGAGTGAAAATTCTATAAGTGTGAAAATTCCACAAGTAAAGAGCTGTTGCCCTGCCCATCCCGGGCAAACCCACAGGATGACATTTTCCTTACCACGATGAACAGCCCACCATTCTGCTCTACTTCAGCTGTTTCCATCAGCAGCTCGATGGCTTTTCTCTTCCCAATTATTTTCACTACTCGAGCAATTAAGTCTTTCTTTGGCTCACAAAGTCTGAACAGACAGGGGAAAAATAAAAAAAAAAAAAAGAGGCACATTTATTGTCAAGACAATTCCTTGAGTGTAACTGACTGTGGAACTTCCACAATGAATAATTCATTTCGTGAAGAAGAGTCTATGCGTTCAAATGTGTTTAAATGGTTTACTGAATCAGATTTCAAAATACTGAGCTTCTGAAGCATGTTTTTTCCCTGCAGCATGCATTTTGAAAACTTGTTTCAATGAAAATGCCTTGAGTGGTTATTTTCCTTCTATTGACATGTGAAGTATCAAACCAAATACGAAACTGCAAAGACCTGCATAAACCTCTGAAATCAAAATATAGAAGCTTCTTGTGCATTTAACAGTTAAAATTAACTTTTTACAGTTCAATCAGCAACTGGACAAAACAGGAAGTATAAAAGTTCCCCTGTATCATGTGCCGTTTCAGTCAAACCTACATAACAAAGAAGAAATAATTTATTGACTGATCTGCAATAATCTATAAAAAGCAAACAAAACAACAAAAAAATTACACTGCAACAGAACCCTACTGATACAGCTCAGTGCCACTGCTACTACAATTAGAAAAAAGAGGCTTCTGTCCTATTTCAATGAAGCTGCATACAACAAAAAGGAGTTTATTGCAAGAAATATGTTTAAACTTTTCAAATTAAGAAATGAGGAACTACCCAGAACTATTAACAGCATTAATAACTAATTTATGTACTAATACCACATGTACAAAAACAATTATGACCAATAAACCCAAGTTTTATTTAAATGTCCAGCTGTCAGTAAATATTCTAAGTCTTATTTCCCATTTAACGTAATTTTCTTCCCTTGCACCACTTAAAAGAGGAGCATGGCAGTTTAACTCCATCCAAAACACTGCACTGCCCAAGTTATCTAGTTTCAAGGTTTAGAACAGATTTGTTTTGTGACCACAGCATGTGTGCATTAGTGTCAAACTCGAAACAACCACTGGGTATTTCCCAAAGAAGGCCACTACTAAATCTGTATAATGAGAAGTAGTATTTTTCCTTGCCCTGCTCCTAAATAACAAACTACCCTAGTGGCTCTGTAAGTAAAAATATAATAATTCGAAGAAACAGGCAGTATTATTTGGATGTTTCTGCAAGATCACCAGCCACAGTGATGCATTTTTATCCCAGGATTTTGGAAATGCTTTTTGTCATCTTTATGCCTTGAGAAAGCTGACCTAGAGGAGAGTCTAGACAGAGTTAAAGAATAAAGTAGGGATTTATTACAAGGCCTCAATGGACACATCTTGGGCAGCACAAGAGCCCAGCCAGGGCCACACCCCAGCTGAAGGCAAAATGGTCATAAAAATGGACAACCAGTCACAGGGTCTCTCCTTTTATAAGCTCTGCTCCATTTGCACATTGAAGTTAATTGTCCAATTGCAGCTCCAGCCCCTAAGTCCTATCCTGCTTGTTTTTCTCTCTTCAGTCCACATTGTTTATGCTGTTGGGCCTGAGATCTGGATCACCAGTCCTTGGTCCCCAGGTAGAGCAGGAATTGTTCTGAGTTCCTACTCTGTGAAGAGAGCTCACCATCCCCTAATACGAAGCTGAGAAGAACACACTAAAGCAGCACAGAATCTGAGAAATATAAAAGCCAAAACCTGAGGCATCAATCCGCTGTGACACCTCATTTAGCAGCAGGGCAACTTTCCCCCCACTTCTTTCTAGCAACCACCAATACTTAGTGAAGATGCACCATTTTTTAACTCACCGATAAGCAATCTCATCTGCCACTTTCTCCTCCGAATCTTCCTCTGTGATCTCATACCTTCCCTTGTATTTCATCTCCTGCCTTTCCCCCAGTCTGTCTTTCACAGGCCTCTTCCGTTTGAGGAAGCCCTGCCCGTTCTCCTCCTCTGCTGGACACGTCTTCTTGTCATCGTGCATGTACTCATCCAGCTCCTTATCCAAAGTCTCTGCCTCCTTCTGCTGGGCTTCCTTCATCAGCTTTTTAGCCAGCAGGTAGTTGTAAGTCTCAGACTGCCTGCTCCTGTCAATTGAACCGTCCATGCCCAGAATCCCAAGCTCGGTCGCCACGGCATCCTGGTTCTGCTCCTGGAGCACGGCGCCCCAGATGTTGTTGACCTTCTTCCCGCGCACAGCAGTCTGTTTTTGGTGGCTCTGGCTGAGCTCGAAGGGCTCGGGTTTGGCAGAGGAGAAGTTGACGCATTTCTGCCTCTTCCTCTTCCACAGGCAGCCGTCGTCGTCGGAGTCGGAGCCGCTCTCCTCGCTGGAGTCCAGGCTCTTGGTGGTCCTGTAAGGAACACTGGGAGCACAGCATGAGAGGCTGCTCTGGAAGGGCCGGCAGGAATCACTGCCAGCGTGCAGCTTCTGCAATTAAAATGCAAATTGAAACCCATTATTAATAATTAGAAGAGCTATCAAGTCGTCCATTAGCTAAAATATGTAATTCTGGCCCTTGTGGCCAAGCAGACCTCCATGAGCATCTCCTGGGCCACAGCACAGGAGCATCCCTTGAAACTGCTGCATTTTGAGTGCCTGAGCATGAAATAGAGCACGGCTGACACAGAAAAACATCAGGAGCTGCCCTTCCCCTTGAGGCAAACTTCGCTGTGCAAAAATTACTATAGAACTGGAAAAGCGGCGAATATGCGCAAACGGGGCAAGACGCACAGCAGGCTCTAAGAACAGGAAAATACCAGAACAACACAGCAAGCAACCAGAACTTTGTGTAAAATCAGAGATGTTAATAATCTCTCTGCAGGTTTAAGGGAGAAGACCAAATGCCCAAAAAATAAACCCCCAAATCAAACCCACAATACCGGGATGGTGCTCAGACTAAGAGTGTTCTGTGATCCCTCAGTCATGACAGCACATGACCAACTTGGGGACAGCAGAACCTTTACAGAACCACCCACTTTTCCTCCTTTAAACCAACAAGACACCACGGTTTAACTATGTCTTATGATATAAAAATACTCAAGAAATGCTTTTACTCCTAATTCCAGTCATTCCGTGACTGAGTTTTTACCATAAAGTTATATGCTGTCCCATTATCTTTCAAAATAAGATCTCTTCCTTCACTTTCAGGTGAAATGAAAATTCCTTCTTTAGTCTCACTGTTTTCATCGACACGGTGCTGTTTCTTCTTTCTCCAGTCAGAAAAGGGAAGCATTCAACTTACCACATTATGACATACAAACTTTTAACTTCAAGTGTAATGCAACAACCATAAACACAGCATCAATAAAAAAAGACTGAGAATTTCTGTAAAAAACTTCTCTGATTTCTCAGAGCTACATTGCAGAGATCAAAATAACTGGAGAAAATAAAATTTGTTATGCATATAGTGTCATACACTGATCTTTGAAATCTTTCCCTGTCTGTACACTGCTGTGAATACCTCACACTCTTAGTAAAAATTCCTCACAGATTAAGTTCCTCATATCCTCTGAGAATCAAAGACTGGTTTGGGTTGGAAGGGATCTTAAATCCCATCCAGTGCCAGCTCTGCCACGGCAGGGACGCCTCCCACTGTCCCAGTGTCCAGCCCGGCCTCGGGCA